GAGCGAGGGACCAATAAGTGTTTCGTCGTTCCAGTTGAACAGCAAGTTGCTGCTACCCTTCTCCCAATAATCAGGCGGTATGTTGTTCTAGGAACGACTATAGTGTCTGACCAGTGGGTGGCGTACAGTACCATCAAAGAAATGCCGGAGGGGTATCAGCATGAGACTGTTAACCACAGCCTCCTCTTTATTGATCCTGAGACCGGTGCTTACACGAACACCATTGAGTCTCTATGGCAGAAATTTAAACAGGGGCACAAAGCAAGGTATGGGACGGAGAAGGCATTTTTGCAGCCTTACATGGACGAATTTGTATGGAAAACAGTTTATGGGGACAACGCATTGTACCATCTTTGATCTCAGATTCGGGAGCACTATCCACCTCCTCGTGGCGATGTGTGAAAGTGAGGACCTTTTATTGGCTCCTGATCGATCAGCAACCGATCATCCAATTTTTGAAAAGCCCTTCTGTTGAGGGGCGCTAATCGAGTCGCACCTCATCAGCATGTCAACCCTCAGGTTGCTGTAAGAGGTCAAACCCGTCCATAGTTTCTCATTGCTACCAATGCCTTCCACCTTACCTCAAACTTTGGTAATTAAACACTTTTTTCACAACTGTCGTGACGTCATCGTCTCGACCGTCTTATACTGCAGTTGCACACTCCTCACCAACCGCTCTGCCCTCACCTTCGCAAAAAGTTTTAAACCCGTCTATAATGTCTCACTGTTCTTCATAAATTTTCAACTGCAGGCTACCACTTTTTCTTGGGAGAACGGGACTTTGCAGTTCCGAAGTTCAGGTTGACGCGATCGACATGTCTCCTCAGCCGCTTCAAGCTGCGACGACAGCGACGCCGCTCTAGTCGCAGCTTGCGATGGGGAGAGGCCTCGAAAGATGCCCCGCCCATAGGGCCGTCAAAGTGCAAGAGCTCCTACTTCTCTATGACCCTACCTTTGTTGTACTTTGCCCTGGTAAGGAGTGTCTCGCTAATCTCCACTACCTTATCAGAAAATAAGATCTTGAAAGGATGCCTTAGGAAATGTTCCGCGCAAACATTTTAAAGTAATCCATGCAATCAGTTAGAACTGGAAGCAATGCAGCAGCATCGTCACATCGTAAGGTTGGCGAGTTAGGAACTAGAAGCTCCAGTACGAAAAGTTGTAGGGACACCGATGTACCACAATACGACACCCATGAAAGCGTTTTAAGATGTAAAAAAACGTGTAAATAAGCAAGTCAAGACGTTACAGCTGCTCGCTTCGCTTCGCTCAGTCCTGCTGCGCCGCCATTGCCGTCCTCTTCTCATTGCCACTCTCCCTTTCCCTTTGTTGCTGCCCCCTCTCCGTCCGTTGCTCTCCCCTTCACTGTCCCCTTCCTAAACTATCCCTCCAAAAACCAGCTAGCCAATCAGCGCGCTGCGGCCGTCAATCGACAAGAGTGCCGAGAAGTGGTGGTGTTTTGGGGGCACTGAGCAAGGGAAAAATAAGTATTTTGTCTTTCCAGTACTCTTCTGCCACGATCAGGCAGTATTTTGTTCCAGGAACAACTACAGTTTTTAATCAGTAGGCTGCATACAGTACCATCAATGAAATGCCAGAGGGATACCAGCATGAGACGGTTAACCACAGTCGTGCTTACTCAAACAGCATTGAGTCTTTATAGCAGAAATTCAGGGAGGGCCATAAGTCACGGTATGGGACGGAAAGGGCAGTACTGAATTCAAATGTGGACGAATCTGTATGGAAAAAAATGTATGGGGACAATGCGCTGTACCACCTCCGGATCCAAATGAAACACTATCTACCAACCCCAGATTTCGTTTGAAAGAGCAAGCTTATCCATCGGCTCCTGATCAGTCTGCCTTACAAAAGTCTAATTTTTGAAAAGTTCCTCATATGAGGAGTGCTAATGCAACTTTTCCTCCAGGTATTCCAACCTGAGAGAGAAGCGAAATATGAGTATAAATGTAAGCTCAGTGTAAATGCTCAGCTACACGCAAATTCAAAACTTTTCTTCACTTTTTTGAATCTTTTGAACTTATTTTACTAAACTACTTCATAAATACTCTATAACAATCGTTTTTTTGAGAAAACTTCTTTACAAAACTCTTTTTTTTCGCAGTAAACTCGTCCTTCCGTAAGATTCTAGTTTGTCAATAAACAAGAGAATTTTTCCTCCTTATTAAGTTTTCACAGTTATGACTTCACCATACATTCTTCGTAATTGAGACTTACTTCAGTCACTGCAAAATGTTTTAAAAGTAAAGAATAAAAAATGAAATGACATCTATCATATAGACTATAAAATGCTGTTTAAAAACAATAACAGTGTTTTTCTTTTGCAATACTTCGCAAAAACTAGTCTCTAGAAGACTCAAAACAGGAGACTGTTTTAATGACGTACTGAGAAAAGTCTATTGGATGAGCTCATATTACGCGGCTCATGAGCAAAATCAAAATATGTGATAAACTGTAAAAAAAGCAGGAATTTCCCTTGTTAAAATATCAGACCTTTGACAAGATACTATTTGATGTTAACAGAAATATTCTAATGTATTTTAATTCTTACGTTTTGTAGTAGAACATGTTAAAGTAGTAATATTCCTGCCCCCAAGAGTTATCCATTGCCTATCATTTGAACAATTAAGAATCAGCGTTACTGTTCCATTATCATCACCATACACTTCTCCAGCTGGTGATTGAATGTAAACATGATTAGCATCCTTAAAAGCGCTCTCGAGAAGGTTTAGTAAAAACAAAAAAGGAACGGTTGGTGATACTGTTGCAATGAATAATGATAAATTTACGAATAAAATTTAAAAACACGCTATTAATAAAGCGTAAATTGAAAGACGGTTTTACTTTTCTAGAAAAGCAGGTGAACAAAATTTCATCACATCCCTCAGAAGTGTCTCGGACAATCGTATAATCAACATCTATGCGATTTGTATCACCCACTGGAGCAACTGTTATATCATAACACAGTGTGCAAGCTGAAAACCGTAAATCTGAAACTCTGTAAGCGAGGAGTAGGCAAACAAGCTTAATAAATTTGTCCATTCCAACTCTACAAAGCTCAAAAGTGTTTTTACCACTTTGAAAAAGTACCAGTTATATTACTGGTACTGTCCGAATTTCAGGAAACAGTAGAGCCGTAGCAAACAGTAGCAAGAAAATAAACGTACGGTTTGCAGTTGTCGTAATAATGGGGGCTTCTGTCACTGACGAATTCCCCGCTTAAAAAACGAAACAATAATTAGTAATTACCGGTCAATGACCGAAAGTTTTAGTAAAATTCTCAGATCAAAGTTTAACTGCAGAGTAATCAGAGTACGATGTCTATCAGTGACTGAAACTGTAAACGAATTCCCTATTTTCTTAATATTGACAGTTCTTCCTCTTGTGTAAGTGGAAAGTCTTGCAATTAAGAAGCTATTGACGAGTACTAAGAGAAAAAGTGTTGCCAAAATTATTTAATAAAAACTGAAAGTAGATTAAACTTCATTGTTGTTGTTTTGCAGGGGAGAGGGGAGAGAAGTTACAAGATAATCCTTAAAACTGATTTTAACTTTGGTCTTAAATAAAAAGTATTAAAATTAAGACGACTAAACTATAAGTGGTAGGCACCGTAATAAATTACTGCAAGTTGTTCAGTAACAAACTCAGTACTTAGACAACTTTTATTTATTTTTCTGTATTTTTTTCTTGGTTTAAAAACAAAACGTTCTATTTCAGCAATTTTTCACGTCAGCCTTTGTTTGAGGCAGATATGATTGAAATCAGAGAGCTGAATTTGAAGCGTTATCATCAAATTCCTGCAGGATTTTGATAGCTCCTCTTGCATACATTTTTTATTCCCTGCTAATAACAAAAAAAAGAATCATAAAGACAATGTAAATTAAGCAAATTTTTTAAAAAAGATTGAAGAATGTTCAAATTTTTTTCAGAACACTCTTCTTTTTTGTGTCATAAAAGTAGTATGTAAATTACTGATGGCAAAACTTTAAAGTCGTGCAAAAAACAGGATTAATAGTAACTATGTATTTTTGCTGCTATTTAAGCGTTATTCTGTATTAAAAATACTTTCTTCAATACAAAAATTACAAGTATTTTAAGCTACTCTCTAATCAACGTACGCTGAAATGATAAAAGTATTTTTATACAAATGCAGTAAATATACCACCAAGAAGCTTCTGGAATACTCACTTCTATTGTTTTACGAAAAGTTCTTCTTTCCAATTAGAAAGAGGAGAAGAAAATGAGGTAAAGTGAGGTAAAGATTGGAGAGGGGAAGAACAGTTTCAACAAGCAAGGGGTATCACCTTGTCTCCACAAAATATTTCGCTAACTATGGTTAAAGAAGCTCTCAACAAAAATGGTGCTGAGGAAATCGTAAACTTTTAAAACCTGACTGTAAATGCATTGCAGCTTTTCTTCATTTCGCTTTTATTGTTTCTCCTCTCTACAGATCCATCAGGATTAATTTACAAAAAGCTTTATTAATGAAGATACTTGTCATATGAGACGATTAAAAAAAAATATGTTTCTGAAACTCTTGCAGCAGCCTTACAAAACAAACATACTTTTGAATTAAATTTTAGCAACTTAATATTAGTGAATAATAAAAATTAATTAGCATTAATACTTTGCTCAACACAGGATACGCTTTTGCTGACCACCGATTGATTTAAAGTCGACGACAACAACCACTGATTGCTCTTAGCGCATACCAGCAATGCAGAGACTTCCCCAATCGCTGTTAAACTGTTCTTATTTTCTGTATCACTGAATACTATCAAGGCCGAGTTTTCTTCCTCAATAAACAACTGTGAGTAAAAAAATGTTTTACAGATACCATAATTTGCAAATTAATTTATTTAAACATAGGCTGCTGCACGCTAAACATAATAGTCCGAAAGTCTTGTGAGTAACGCTGTAAGAAATCAGTCGTTCTTCCGCAGAAATTAAAGCTTTATTAGTTAAAATCAGCCAATATTCACCTAAAACTGTGAAACCTGAATTGAAGTCAAAATCAGAAATTGTGTATCTGCTTTTGAGGTGTCCTTCAGAAAGGCAAACGCGTTGTTTTGTAAACAATAGCAACGCAGCTTTTTAGAAAATAACTTCTTCAATAAAATAAAAATATTTTTAAACTTTTTATTTAAAGATATTTATTTACTTTATTAAACAGTTACGTGCTGAAAAAATGCCAAAAAATATAAAGAGTAGTCCAAAAATTTTCGTTGCATACAATACTTAAGGAATTGCTTATAAGCGTAAAACTGGCAGAATATTTTGCATGTTTATTCTCTGTTTAAACAGTCCAACGTAAAGAACAAGGCCTTTACGCAGACGAATTGAACACTTTGATTTTTGTTGAAAATTTTTTTCTAAAATAAGTTTTTTGCTGCTTTATCTTGCAAAACGATAAGCTTTGTCTAGCTTACAGAATAGATAAAGTTGGTTGAAAAAAACGAAATAAAACAATTAAAGTTAGCAAAAAAACTTGAAAAAAGCATTAGTTATGCCTACTGTTATAGAAGAGCAATGAATATTCAGTGTTGAACACCCGTCTTCTCCGGTATCGTATACCAATACTAACCAACCATTACTACCAGTTATTACTAACTCATCTACTGATGCAGGTTTCAATTTTGAGCATTGAGTGCAATCTAAAAAAGTCTATTAACAAACTTCAGGAGAAGTCGGAAGTAAAAACTCGTATTAAACCGATAAGTTGAAACAAGTTATTTTAACACTGTTTAGGTATAAAATGCCAAAACTATAGATTTTCACTAGTCAATTTAAAAAAAGTTTTTTCGAAAAAGTGTTGAAAAACTTTATTTATTATGAACCACAAATGCTCTGTTTGTAGTTATATACATTATTAACAGATTCAAACTTCTGGTTTTCACTCAACAATTCTACTGTTCACTGACTTTTGAGAAGGAAAAAAGTGAAAGCAGTTTTACAAAGAAAAAAAAATGATTTATAGAACATCGAGTTCACATTGGTAGTCATCACTGGTAGTAATTGGAAGAAATAGAAGCGAATTACAAAAACTAGGAAAATGATAATCAATCTGGGCCAGAGTTATGAAAATCTTGATAATGCTGTAAGACAGTTGAAGAGGTGAAAATGTTATACAGAGAGGTCCTAAGAGGTCCGTTCATCTTTTGTTGACTTTTTCTGCACAACTTTATCATAAAACTGTCCTTTTAATAACCAAAGAAAATGTTCATTTTGTACATTTAAGGTCCTATCAAACATATCAGTGCAATTCAACAGGCTACAGGCTGTCATTTCATTCCAAGTCGCACATTATTCTGTTTTAATACTTTTTAATTAATTTTTTTTTTAATATGCAAATTTTTCTTTCTTGTTCTAATTTTCCTTACTCAAAAACAAAACAAAAAAAATTATAGATTTTCAACTTGCACTTGATTGTATCAAAATCTAGGCGAGATATACCGCTTTAGAATAACACGTATTTTGTGCACGAAGACGCAGAATTAATGCAATTCAACAATACTTTAAAAAACCGTCTAAAAAGTTTGTTTTTACTATTTTATAAGCGAGGAAACCAGACATGATTAACTTAGAAAGTCATAACCAAGAAAGTTTGTTTTTTGAAATGTTAAAAGGAGGACTGATTATCTCATTAAAGAGGAAGTAATTAAATAGCTATAAAATTATTCAGTGTTTTGATTGAGAAATACCTACTCTCTGGAATCATTGAAGATTCTGTTGTTGGTACCTGAAAATATAATATTTTATGAGTGATATTAAATTATAAAATAAAATCAAAAACTAAAGGCATAATATCTGGCAAACTATAACAACCTTCAAGCAACTTGTACACAGGCTTTTTTCATCAATGGCATCTCTGATAACTATTGTTTTATCTAAGTCAAAAAAAAGCACTATGCGAAATCTGGTATTACTGGAGCTGAAAAATAAGCACTATTACTTTGTTTACATATTAGCTAACAAATAAGCTTTGAGAAATTTTGCACTAAAATTTTTAAATTTTTGGAACAGAATAAGTTGTTATATGCTAAACAGTGCCAGTTATAATGTTTTAGAGAAAACACCTCCTAATACGTATGATAAAATTAAACGCTTAAAAGAATTTACAGGTGGTATATTTGGCACAGTGACTTGAAAAGGAACTAAAATTTGCCATAAGCCTATAAGTTGGTAAACAAAATTAAAAAAAGTACACCGGTAAAATTTTAGATGATCAAAAAAATACATTTAATAAATTTATCAAAATGTTGTTAGTAAGTTAAAGATAGACTCGGAAATGTGCAAGAATGCCAAAATATTGGTTGTTAAAAACGTTGTAAACAAAAGCAATAAAAGAGTTAGTTTTTGACCTAAGAGGAAACGCAGTCAGTGTTTAACTTTTTTTTGCACGAATTTTCTTGACGGTTAATTTTAAAAAAATAAGCTACAAAAATTTTTTTAAAAAATAAATTAATTTACCAAAAAAGTTGGCATTCAAACAAAACATCAAATTTTGATAAATTGCTTTCTTTTTTTTAACAGCTAAGAAGCATAAATTACTATATGTGACAAATAAGAAGTAAGAACTACTGCAACAATTTTTTTAAGACCAACTTGAACAGATGTGATATTATCATAAAATTAAAGAATCTGTAGTCATCTAGCTAAGATTTATTTTAGAGTTTTTAGAGTGTATGCGTTTTTTCCAAAAAAGTAACCGTTCTTTTTTTCGCTTTTTTTTACTTTACTGCTTTAAAAACTGCACCTGTTTAAGCGCAAATTCATTTTAATTTTGAATAACTCAAAATAGTATCTGTTGAGAGAGCAAAAAAACCCGAAACATCTAGTAAAATTTGGAACTATTGGAAGATAATCTTAAATGGTTGATGAAATTATGAATCAATCTTCAATAAACTATCGACTGTTTTATTAAGCTGTAGACAATGCACAAAGTATCTAAATACATTTGTTTGCCAGCTTACAAATTCATTTTTAGGTGGATTAATCAAGAAGGATTATGTATCAAATAAAATTTTTTTTTTTCTGTCGTA